TAGATGATATCACTAATATAAGTGTTTCATTCTTGATGAGTTTTGTTGTTAAAACCTGATAACAGTCTTTTATGTTCCCTCCTGTTACCTACTTTCTCTCCTGTTACCCACTTTCTCTCCTGTTACCCACTTTCTCTCCTGTTACCCACGTTTCCCTCCTGTTACCACCCCTCTTTACGTTCATTAAAAAAAATCTTGAACTTTGTTTTTAAAAAGTAAGTGTGGGATTAGCTTCACCTTACTGCTAAAAAGATTAGAAATTCATATGATCACAATGCGTTTGATCTAAGAGTGAGAATCACCAACTGAAGCTCTAAAATTTTCACTGAATTTTAAATGTGGCACTTAAATCCGAAATAATTTTGCGTGGATTGTTAAACTGGAGTGCTTTTTTATTATTTTCCTGATGAATAAACCTAGTTTCACCAACATATAGTGCATTACCCCCCCCCCCCCCCCCCCCCCAAACCTATTCCAGTAACACAGCTCTATGATTTCTGTTGGTAACAGGAGAGAACTTTTTACTAGGACTCTAGCCCAAAAGTTGCCGTGACGCTGTAATTTGACGGAATTAAGCTCAGAAATTTCACATTTATGTCTATAGATGGTTGATTCATTTCATCAATATTATTTCGAAACTTTTCATAAAAAATTATTTTTCGAAAAAAAGAAAATCTAAAATGTGACATTTTTTTGAAAATGACTCATACAACGACATGTGGCGGTTGCACTCCTTTCCGGAGTCTTGGCGACTCGCCACTCTCATTCCAATACCCAAATCTAACAAAGACCACACACACCCATCCAATTACAGACCAATAGCATTAACGAGCTGTCTGTGCAAACTTATATATAGAAAATGATTCACAGGCGAATCATGCGGTTTCTGGAGACGACGGGCTCGCTGAGCAGTTTTAAGTGTGGAATCAGGAAAACACGTTCCACTCTGGATCACCTGGTCCACCAGGAGACCTATTTACGCGAGACATTTGCCGAAGGATGCCACATGCTCGCCATCTTTTTTTACCTAGAAAAAGCCTTCGACACAACCTGGAAGTAAGGCATTCTCAGAGACCTGCACACTCTCGGCATACGCGGTCACCTCCCTGCCTTCATTGGCAATTTACTGAAGAACCGTTCCTTCAAGGTTCATGTCGGATCCTCCCTTTCAGACCTCCACCAACAAGAGAAAGGTGTCCACCTGGGAAGCATCATTTCTCCTCTCCTATTCGAAATCAAAATAGATTCCATCGTTAAGTCCCTCCAAAATAGCATAGACAGCTTGTTATACGTTGACGACTTCTTGATATGCTGCCGTTCGAAAAAACCCCAACTAAGGCAGTTAAACTTGAAAAGTGGCTTCAAATTTTCCCTGTCAAAGACGGTAGCAGTGCACTTTTGCCGATAAGGCAGAGGTGTGCTGCAACCGGATTTGACGCTCTACGGGAAAAGCATTCCTGTCCAGGACGAGGCTCATTTCATCGGCATTATATTTGACAAAAAACTAACATTCATTCCACCCATAAAAGACCTTCGCGTGAGGTACCAGCAAGGGTTAAACGCGTTGAAAATGTTATCGCATCCGGAGTGGAACGAGGACTCAAAACACCTTCTCCTCCTATACATCTCCCTTGTCCGATCCAGGCTTGACTACAGCTGTCAGGTCTATGAATCGGCAAAGCCCCACGTCCTGAAGATGCTAGATCCAGTACAAAACAAAGGAATCCGCCTCGCCCTGAGGGCTTTCCGCACTTCTCCGGTGGAGAGCCTCCAGGCGGAGGCAAACATACCATCACTTACACTCAGACGCTCACAACTCTCACTACAATACGCCAGTAAACAAAACTTAAAACCAGAGAACCCAGCACACGGTTGTGTTTTCATAACAAATTCAGAAACCATAAACAAATTCCAAAACAACGAAAAACTCATCAAACCCTTCAGCCTGAGAGTCCTTGAAGACCTTAAAAACATACTATAATTTTCCAAACAAGACATCCAACGATTTCTTTTCCCCGAACGCCCTCTGTAGCACATCACCAAGGCAAAAATAGACTTACAGCTGACCCCACACACCAAAGCAAGCACAAACACCAAATCATTTAAAGCAGAATACAAAAAAAAAAAAAAAAAATAATAGAAAAATACCCCAATGCGTAGCTTATCGTCACAGATGGCTCTAACTCGGACTCCGCTGTGGGCGCCGCTGCCCAGAGCACTGGGGAACAGCGACTCTATTTTTAAAAACAGGAAAAAAAAATTGGTCTGGGGAACAGCGACTGCCCTAAGCGAATACCTCGTCGTGATGTATTGATGATGGTATCGATACTCCAGCGGCCCGCCAAAAAGATGTTACAAGAAACATTTAAAACTATGTATAATCGTAAAAATAATATCAAATTCGGAACCAGCGTGTCCAAATTAACAAACTAACTCACGCAGGGGCGAAGGCTGACTTGTTTGACAGGGTAATCAAAGTGAAACGGGACCAGATATGGCCTGTAGATATGACACAAGAATCTTACTCGAGGCGGCGACTCTGAGTTGTGAATGAAAACAAATCCAGAATTCATATTGTATGTTCAACCGCCAAAATAATCGGGAAAGTATCTTATTAAATTTCAGTTCCAACTAAAATTAAATTTAACCATAGATGTGAATACATAAACACAAAGCAAAGAAGCAGAGACGTCAGTACTAGATCTATATGTTATAGATCTACCAGTGAGTCTAACTCTTTGGTAGAACATGACAATTATCATTTTTAAAATTTTACATTTGGCTGTTTTTGTTAGCCTTCCGCGGCCAGGAGCTGGTGTCATAATCGAGGTCACGATCTGATTATAGGACGGTAAAAAGTCGTGGAAAAAAAGCAAGCACTAACAACAGTGAAGAGATTGTTAGGAGTTAGTTCCCCTCACATTTGTGAGGTAGACTCGACCAGTGTTAGTTAGCTTACATAATCAGGGCTTGAGATAGATTTTAACTATGACCCCAAAGGGGTGAACAGGGTATATGTGGCAATGAAACAGCTTAGACTGCTATGCACATGTTCCCTTCAACTATATTGGTGGACTCTTCCAGCCTCACTTTAAGCTTACTTAATCAAAGCTTGCGACTGCTTATGGAGTGGCCTGAGAGGGGCGAGGAGGCTATTTCTGTGGCCGTAAAACCGTTTTGAATGTTAGGCATACTGTTCATTGTTGATTACGAACGTCTTTTGACATTTAATTTAAGAGGTTTACGTTTATGGATGAATTTGACATCGACAATGTTTCAAAATGAGGAAGGGAAGCAGTGATTATTTGATTATATAGACGCTTCGCCCCTGAACTCACGGATGGCCGTTTTTCTTGTTGGATTTAGAAGATCACAAAAAGAAATATTTTATATAGATTGAACCAAGATTGCATCTTGTAGTATACTCCTATCATAAAGAGGACAGACAACTCAGTATAATAACCACCCACCCCCTTTCCCCCCCCCCCCACCTCAATGTGAAGTGACAAGTGGGAGGCTGTGACGGTAAATTCTTTTGAAGTTTGCCGCCGCGCGGGATTAAACTTTGTGCGCAGAATTTTCAAAATAATTATCGCAGCTAAAAACTGATTTCATTTTCGAAATCGGCATATGAAAGTAAGCAGAGAGGCTCACGTTGAACCTGATTTGAGGCCATATTTTAAAACTGGAGCAAAATTTGTTTTTCAATTGTCTATTTTCAATCTTAAGTTATGTATCAAGGACACCCAGTGCGTTGTAAGTGCATCTGACGTCAAAGCTGTTAGGACTTCACACTGCACACTAGATATCTACTATCTACTAATGCACAGTCACTGTACAGTGTACAATATGGTGACTTGGTCGAAAGATATTGTTACTGTTATTCTTAGAGGCCTACAGATCCCTCGAATGTCTGTGGACGATTAAGTCCAGAGACTACAATAACAAATTATTAAGAGAGGGCGTAGGGAGAGTTTGTGTCATTAGAATTTTGCAACTAATAACTTCGTGGGCGTTTTTTTTACGTTTGTTAAGGGTAGGTGGCAATTAATATTTCTAACTTTGTTATTAATACATACCAGCATCATTCAGAGTGATCATAAAACACTCCCGGAGTTCAAAATGAAATTCAAAGAGCAAAATATAATATTTCTTTGAGGAATTTGAAAATATTTCATGTTTTTGGGGTACAGAAGCAATTTTGACTCAATCCGGCCCGCGCTCGCGCTTAATCAGTTTATTGACTAAAGTGCTTATATTTTCCCATAAGCATACAAGCAATATAGTCTGTGATCCTAAATGGGCTTGTTTTGATACTTGAAACCTCTAAAGAGATATTGAGGATAACGTCATAGCTATTGCTTGACTCTGTTAATTTTCGCATTTTCACATCAACTGAAGCACTCGAAACAGCATTTGTCAAAATCGGTGAGAGATATATCAAAAAGCCCATTTAGGATTACAGAAAATTCATTTTTACATAGTTAGGCCAAATATGAAAGAAATCCTCCACGTGAGTTTCAAATGAGAGTCCGGGACGCAACCCATACCCCTTAATTTTTGTCGTTTTGAGAAAACTTGAAAAAACGTACAGATTTTGTCATAACTTTCTAACCAAAACAGAAAGGAGCATGAATTGAATTGTATAAAGACAATTAATCATTTTTCAATGTACCCAATTCTTTTGTATCTAATTTTAAGAAAAAAGTTACCCCAAAATACAGTAGGTAGTCATGCAACAGAGAGGTCAATTTAGTGGTAGTATTAACTGAAAAGAAGAAATATAGGGAAATTTGTCAAAAACATGCAACTCCAAGTTGCCAAAAGAGGGAAAAACAGCCATAAATTGCAGAAGGACTTCTTTATTCCTAATCAGTCCCTCTTCCTGGGCAGTAGAGACATCTGTCGGTCCAATTTTCCTCCTCTAAAAGATGGTTCCTTTCCTGTTTTTCTAAGCTACACCCTCTATGGTTGTCTCTGCCCTCTATATTTTGGTACAGTCCCTTCTAATGCCACTGTCCATGGTTCGGGCTGAGACCTGCAATTTTAGAAACGGCATAAGCGTCTGGGTGCTGAGGGCCCCCAAATTCCAGTCTGCAGTAGTGATAGCAAAAGCTGCTTCTACTCTTGGTTTGGTCACAAAGACCGTCTTAGGGCCCTTCAACCAGGTGTGAACTTATGGAAACTCCCATTCTATTTTTGTGTCATGCCAAGCGCGTACTTGATCTCCATTAGCTCATCTGTGATGCACAGGCTTCACAAATGAGGGGTTTTTAGGTGGGTAGAAAGCCTTCCCTTTTGTGATGGTGCTGTGCTTCTTTGGCTGTAATGCCTTTTGTAAAAGTACAGTATAACACAGATAGCTTGAATTCGTTGGAACTGGCCTCGGTAGTTCGAGGCATCCGTAGTTCTAGGGATCTGTAGTTCGAAGGATATCTTTAAAAGATAGAGAAGGAAAAAAACCGGGACCGCAGGCACAGTTCTACGGATGCATGTGTGATTTTGAGTCTTCTGTGTTTGACCTGTCTGTGTTATACATGTACTGTAAAAGTACCAGTTGTTTTCACTAGTAGGTGGGCATCTGTCATGATGTGGGTCTCCATCTGTGCTGGTGCTGTGCAACAACGTGGCCACCACTGCTTCTTACATTAGCAGTGGAAAGAGTTGAACAACCTCAGAGGTTTTGTGTAATAGGACTGGAGACATCCAATCTTCTCCTGGTTGAAAAGAATAGAAGAGAAAAAAACCCTGGAAAAACCCCCATAGGAATAATGATTTAGGTGTTGTTATTATCCTCTGCAGACAGAAGCTGGCAACGCATTCATCAATGGCAAAATTGTAATTTCAGACTAAAAACCCATTTAACT